TGTTAGGGTGCGCGATGCACTCTGGACTACTCAATAAAGACACACGAGTTCTCATCCAATATGGCGTCCTGTATTGCATAATAACTGATACACAATCAGCTATTGCCGAAAACAGTTTTTATATATCATCCGATGGTCTCTTAGAAAAAGGGAAAGTCTCTCACGACAGGCAAAAATAAAATTTAAAGGCGATAAAGCGACGGGACCACAAATGCCACTTTGGGAGTCCGGGAGTCCGTGCCCTTCCATCTCTTACCTTTATTCTCGTTGCAAAAATTCATCGATTGCCGACGTGAAACTCTCACTACAGAGGCTTCAGGTGATTTCTGGGACAATTCATCGTCAGAGGAACTCGACATTACAGGTTGAGTCTTTAACAGTATGATGACGATTTCTGCTGTACGATTGCGGGCTCAGCTGGAATACGTTTTCAGCTAAGGGGGCGATTTTTTGGACGACTTTGAATCGGTAAAAATTGGTCATTAAAGGTTTGTTTAGAGTTTTTAATGACAAAAAGGGTTTGAAATTGACGTAAATCAACATTTTTTAAACAAATTAGCCCTAAATAAGCCGGTCAATTTTCGTCTCAGGGGCACTTTAAAATGTGTCCAAGGTATCAATGCTATAATTTTCATAAGATAATATTATACGATCTAGCTTGAGTAGGAAAGTAGAAGCTTCAGCCAACTAAGTCAAGCAGTCATAACTATAGAGTGTAGCGACAAGGGTATCATTAGTTCCCTCCCCATGGGATGACAAACCGTCACGAGGGTACCTTTCAGTATTTCGTCAGGCCTCCTACACAGTTTTCTGATACTCATTCATACCTCTGGACAGAGAAGGGCACAGAGGAGAGGGGGACGTCTGGTTGGAGAAAGGCACTCTACCTGCCTGTAAGACAATGAAAGAGTCTTTCTTAAGCACACAATCCCAAAGCAGGGCCACATCTCGAACCCAGGCCACTCGACCCTTACATAATCCAATCATACTCTGTCGTACAACTTAAACACTTAAGGTGCAAGATCCTTCTCTGTGGAAGTTCCAACACTACGGAATGCTCTGCCATGTGAAGTTAAAATTAATCGTCAGTGTCCTCGTCTTCCTAAAAAAGTCTTATTCAGTTACTTCTAGACTGTTTTTCTCAGAAGTTTTTATCTAATTTTCACTAGCTTTGTAAAACGTTTCTGAACTTTGGGATACTAGCTATGTATAAAAGTTCTTCTTCTTCTTCTTCTTATTCTTCTTCTTCTTCTCCTCCCTCTTCTTTTCCTTCTTCTTTTCCTTCTTCTTCTTCTTCTTTTTCTTATTAAAATTATTGTTAACATTATTATTATCATTATTATTATCGTTATCATTAACATTATTATTATTATTTTCTTATTGTCGTCATCATCGTTATTCTTCCTCTTATCGGTTATTATTATTACTATTATTTTTCTTATTTCATTTCTTATCAATAATGGTGAATCTTTATTCACTCCAATTTCTAACAATATTCACAAAAATCATGATAGGATCCTTAAAATCGATTGTTCAATAAGAGATCTATGAAAAAACTAACAGACACACGCTTTGTTTACGTTTACCTCTTGAACTTTTAGGAAGACAAAAAAAAAAGAATAATAGTAATGTGAAGAAAATTAAAATTCGTAATTCTAAAAAAAAGTTCCACTATCATTATTCCTGGCTTTGGCTAGAGTTCCTCAGAAATAGCTCTTTCAATGCCCTTGGAAATATTAGCATGTCCTTTTACAATATTCAAGGCAATGTCCGACAACTATAAGTGAACTAGCGAGCCTCTTAAGCAAAGAGATGCTGATCTCAGCAGCGAAAAAGACACTTTTGCACTTATCTTGGACATGGTAGTCGCATAGTTTTCGCCCTTCAGTATGATTATGCTAATGATTATATATGATTATGATTATTATTGTTAAGTCCCGTGGCCAAAATCTTATTCTCTCCAGTAGGAGTGAAGATTACCTCTTCTGATCTATTACATTCCATATTTACATCCATCTAATAAAATGCAATTATTTACAGGGTTATTTCTTATGACTGACATTCGTGTGTGACATTAATTATACACTGCTGTGGTTGCCGAAGTCTTTCATCCGATATCGAGGTATTCAATTACAATTTGCCGCTCAAACCGATTATAACTTAAGATTTATAACTAAAGTCGCATTTTACGAACAGCGCATCTTTCCTTTTATCATCAGATTAATTGAAAGCCATAACTAAACCCATTCTTTTGAAATGTATATCAGGGGGAGGAAGCTCAACTTGGTCGGCCCTTATCATAATTACAGTCTCTTCAGATATGGACCAGGACGTACAATCTGGGACTGTCCTTGAGAGATAAAAGAGAGCAGGACAAGTGAGCATTGTTATAGGAAACAAAACCTATTGCATTAATCATTGCACTGATCATTGCTTGATCAAAAGTACATAATAGTCTAGAGATAGGGAAGGAGGGGGAACATTTATTGACGCGTAAACGCTCCTGTCGTTTAAATGTCACAATATTACGACGATTCCATTCTCCTCGATAGAAGTCTGTCATTTATACCCGTTCACTTTGAGGCATATCTTCATCATAGGGTGGTGGAGCTATCTCAGGTTGGCGAATTCCATTTCCTGCTCCCACGACAGAAGACGCCCTTTCAGAGACTGCTAACTGTAACTGAGCAACACAACAAGTATTATTGTTGTTTTGTATATGAAAATCAACATTTATATTTATACTCAGAGCCGTTACGCAGAATTCAGGCTTCACAAATCTAGAAGTATAGACTAACTATCTTCCAGTTTGCTCCCAGGTTTCTTCTCTTGGCCATTTGAATAGAGCTTTTGCAGTGGCTGTGTAGTCAGCCGATTCTCCTTTAAAGACCATCGATGGGCTTCCATTGACGTAACAATTGGTGGGAATTTAAGTAGAGTTTGTCGCATACAAATCTATATAAACTACTTTGTTGTTATCAAAAACATTCCTCCCAGGGGGTAAATATGTATTAAGGCTACTACAAAAAATTTTACGATACAGCAGCAGAGTATTCCAGGGGCATGTTTGAGTAATTCTCCTGTAATTATGCAACACGAAACGTTATCCAAGCGAGCAGAGGAAAGAAAGAACCTGTATCATTGCTAACCATGGATTAATACTCGTATAGTTAGTAAGAAATTAGTTACTAACGTGTTCGTCTTGTAGTGCGTCTTCATATGATGGGGGTGGCTCCTCACTTGGGTCTGGATTTGTAGCCACGAGTAGAAAATTACAAAAGACCTAGGAACATTAGAATAGCATAGAAGAGACCCTCTTTTGGTGGAGGTATCTAGGAGACGCTTCATCTCTAAGATGGGAAGAAACAAGTGTTTGTATTTCTTTATTTATTTTTTTTTTTTATTTATTTATTTTTTTTCTTTTGGGGCATGCCACCTTTCCCACACCCCCGATCAATTTGAGATTTAGAGGCCCGGCAGTGTAAATTGAAGTACTCGAGGAATCGAAAAGGAGCCGTTTCATGAGACCTGTTTATGATACATATGTAAGTTGCCTGTCTTTTCTGAACAATTAGAGTACAGCATTCGTGGGTGGGAAATTCGCAAAACGATGGGAGGCTCTCCCCTGAGGCTTAAACTGCCGACTCGTGACGCACTCGTGTGAAAACCTACACGAAAGTTAAGTATGTAAGCCTACTCGCAGGCTAAACAGAGAAGGGACATAGGGCCTTTAGCTACTGGCTTACCCCCTTTTGAAAACCCGCTCCGAGAAGGAGTACTCCTTACAAAGTCGTTTCTGGTGATTACGTATCAAGAAAAGTGGCTCAAATTTGATAACAATAGGCTTTGTTAGACAAGCGAAAAATGACCCTATATGGCCATTTTTGAACAAAGGCGCAAAAGCTTCAGAACACATGAGGGATTTGTCGAAGTTTCCGATTAGCATACGAGCGGGAATTTTAAACGCTCGGAAAGACTAGACTTTAGTTTAGAACTATGACGACTTTAGTTTAGAACTATGACAGTTTCTGGAGAAAGATTTATACGGACAGAGGTGGTCTGAATGAGACACAACGTATTTTGAATTCTCTATGTGTGCATTGTCACATTAGCGGTCATTTTTTTTCCAGGTGTAGACCGTTGAGAGTTGACTCGACGAGACATATTTACCCTACCCACTTCTCCGAAGCGGCTAAATCAGCATTTAATTTTCCCTTGGGGTACTCCGGTGACAATTTACCTGTCATGTGCAAATATGCGCTACCTACTCTTCCAAAAAAGCTTAATTGTGATGCCAAAGATTTTTTTCCGATTAGTCACGATCTTTCTCCCGTCGCTTCGGCCAAAGTCCCCAAGCGCTACAAAGAACAAAAGGACTATTGTTTACTACGTAATGTGTGAAATTGAGCCGGAACAATAGACCATTTCTTGATACGAGGATCAACATGATGCATTGGCATTCCTCATATTATTTTGCGAAACAACGTTCGTCAACGTTCATTATCCAACGGGCCTATGAAAGTGGCTGTTCACAGCTTCTAACTATCTGTGGAAAAGCAATTCTTAAGCAAGTCTGGAATTACCTCCTAAAGAATAACTTTTTATTTATAAATCCTACGTTTTGGTCTTGTAATGTGACGTCATATGGTGGGGGAGGCTCTTCACTTTCATTAAGCGACTCATCTAGACCAATATCCACAACTAAAATATTACGAGATACCTGAGAAAAAAAAAAAAAAAATCAGAAGAACGTTAACAATGGCTGAGTTCTCATTTTCTGGAGATATCTCTAAATCATCTCATCTGTTATTAAGGGCACTCCTTGCAATGGAGTTTTTGGGGATCGAAACCGGCATCAAGCGATGACACACATAGTTACCTGATCATTTTGAGATGTGTTGTGTCCTGGCTCGTATGGCGGAGAAATTGGAACCTGCCCTGCAGAAGGATTTGTAGCTGAATTCGATCCAATATTCGTTGCACTCGCCACTCCCTGCTCCTGATGTTTACATTGTAAACTAAGTGTGAGGTACAGTATACAATAAACGGAGGAGAGTAGTCCATTTGACAGTATTATCAACTAAATGTATCGCAACTGGAGTGATTGATCGTGGAAATATGTGAGCATGTAACCGTGTGAAAACACAGAACATTGGAACACCATAGCATGCCGGTGATAAGAAAAGTCGACTTATTCAGTAAATGAGATACATAGGATATACGTAACAATGGTCGGAAATTACGTAGAATCATAAGAAAGACAGACGATGGGAGTAACTTTTAAGTCATAAAATTTTCCGTTATTTCCTTTTTCGTTACCGACAAAACAAATCTGCTCAGGTGCAAGGACAAATCGGCCTCGGCCAAATCTCCTGTTGTCGATTTTCCTTCAAAGCCGCGAGAAATACCAGCATCGAAACCAAGGCTGTAACTGCCTTTTTTTTTTGTTTCATATTTTATTTACTTCCGTTTCTGGGAAATTTTGAGTGTCAATCTCTATAAGGGATACGAATCTTTAAGCAGCCATACTCCAAGAAAATCATTACAAACAACTTTGGATTGAGAACGGGGATCATTCACGAAAACAGACCGGTAGTGTGAAAGGCGATCACGTTTCTTCAACTGACTGGCAATATAACACACACGTAGAGAGTTGTTGTGATCTTACATGTGTGCAGTACTGTTAGGACTCTATTTTCTTAGGGCTGAAAGCCTTTGTAAAACACCGCAGTTTATGTAATAAAAATCTATCATAATTACAAGTCTGAGAAGTGCTAGTGAGTGTAGTTGTAAACTCTGTCCACTGAAAACTATCAAATCTTTTCAAGGCTATTTGAAAGAGAAGATAATCCTAGTTCATGGATCTTGTGGATCTTTTAGTTGGAAAATGAACCCACTTTTTAATTTTGCACGATATAAACATGGGCAGAAACTGAGTTTTTAACTTTGGCCCAGGAAATCACAGCTCGCTGGAGAAAGAACTCAAACATCGCTTCACACTCAGTTGTTTGACATCTTTTAGCTTTAGCTATTGCTTCATTAGCAGTTAGACATGTCGTGAGATAATTACCGCTCAATATTGATAAGAATTTCTTGCTTTGCAATATAGCTAATATGCCAAGCTCCTCTGGAATGTTTATCTGATTGTTGATGTTAACCATATTATTTTTTACAAGGTATAAAATTTATACACATTAAGAACATTTGGATGCTACCCTTAATTAATAAATAGATAAAATGCAATTTAACACCTAGGATTCTCTATATAGAGGCCATTCTTTTTTTTCCTTTTATTTTCTTAGAAAATTGAGACTTACCTGTTCTGTTCGAAATTTGACACATTGAAAGATGGCTGCCAAAGGTCCCAAAAGTAAACCAATGATTGCTAAGCTGAATATGACGCCAAAATTAATTTCATTGCTCCCCAAAAAGTAGGAAGTGAAGGATATGATCGAGGCACAACCCAACACTGATGTGCAAGTGTTGTAGCCGTAGTAGCATATAATGTAACTCTGGAGATGTAACAAAAATAAGTTAAATTTGAAGTCAAAAATGCACGGATTATTTTTTCAGCCTGTGTTCATTTGGATTGCGTTTTCCATAAAGGAAATGTAACGAAGAAACAAATTTTCAAGCCCCTTTGCATAAAAATCAATTAATCATCCTTTTTAGGTCAAGATGATCTTTCACGGAAGGTGTTTGTAAGGAATAACTGTTCTTGATCTTGCACATTCTTAAGTTTTCTAATCAAAACCTTCACGACAAAAATAACTGCATGAAAACTCTATTCTTTCCTGTAATCCATCTTTAGTATTTCGAAACTTTTGTTCTGTTTTGGTTTGTTTGTTTTGCTTTGCTTTGCTTTGCTTTGCTTTGCTTTGTTTTTGTTTGTTTTTGTTTTTTTTTTGTTATTTTTTTTTAATTAATTAGCTATATTTCTGCAGTATTTATCAACTTACTTGAGTCTTCCCTAAGCATCTGCAAAGACCAACCAGACCCATTAAGCACATCTGCGGGAAAATATTGATGCAACCATAATTGTTTATATGCGTTATAAACGCTTATGTAGCGTTGGCTACCTTTGTTTGAAATAAACTCAATGTTTCAGGATACCTTTTAGCCTGTTGACAAGACATACCTTCGAATACACTCTCATTCTTTTATTTGGTAAAGATTATTAATTTAGTCAACAAGGCGATGAAGTAAGGCGCAGGGCAGTGGGTTTCAACTCCATTATGGAGCCGTGAGATGAATAGGGACAGATTAAATGAAAAGTTATATTGAAAGATGCACAATACAGTCCAGAATTTAGAGGCCATAAAAGATTTGCACTGTGAGGAAAGCGTGTCGGACGGATTCCTCGTCTGTAAGCAAGAGCAAGGTATCATCCGCATATTGAGAGAGCTTAGTTTCCTCCTTTGAGCCGGGTGGTAAGAGGCCTTGAATATCTTGATCTGCTCGGATGTGTGAGGCCATTATTTCTGTCGTTATGATTTGCAGTGGGGCGGACAATGGACAACCCTGTCTCAGTCCCCGCTCAAGCGTTATGAATGCGCTTAACCAACCATTGGCTTTGACACTACTCATGACGTTATTGTACAAGAGTTTAAACCATGAGATACAATGAATATATGAAGTTCATATATTTTGAACTGCGGTATTAGATACGTATTTAAACCATTTGATGAACCGTGGTCCGAGGCCGAGTTTAGAGATTTAAATAAAAAGGAATGGGAGACTCTATTGAAGGCCTTTAGTTGATCACTTGAGACTAAAGCAAGTGTAGTATCGATGTTGTTTGCGTAGAGTATGGCATCACGAATAAGGCTGGCGTTATCATTGATAGTGCGCGAAGAAATGCAAGCAGATTGGTTTGAGTGAATAATCGTGTGGAGGACGGAGGTTAGGCGGTTTGCGAGGGCTTTGGTCAATATTTTATAATCTGAGTTAAAGAGGGAGATGGGGCGCCATTGGGAGAGTCTGGTGCGATCGCCTTTCTTGAAGATTAAATTGATCACTGCTCGTCTCTGAGAAAGGGAGAGCTCCCCACTATTGTACGCGTAATTGTATATTGCAGTTAGCTCAGGCGAAAGGATATTCCAAAAGTGTAAATAGAAATTAGTTGTCAATCCGTCAAGGCCGGGTGATTTGTTTAGCTCCATGGACTTAATTGCTTTGGTGATTTCGGCTGTAATAATTAAACCTTCGCACTTTTTCCGGTCTTCTAGTTTAAGATGGGGGTTTGCGATATTAAGAATTTCTTATTAGGCTTGCTCGTCAATCTGTTCGGCTGAATAGAGGTGTTTGTAAAAGTTTCGTGTTTCGGCGGGAATATCGGCGGCTTCTGTGACTAAATTATCTTTCGTGGGGATTTTAATGGTTTGATTTGCCTGTTTGGATTTTTCTAAGTTGTAGAAGTATTTCGAGCTGTTTTCTTCGGGCTAAGTGTGACGAGGTTTAGTTCGAATTTTGAGCGCTTGGACTTCTGTTATTTCGAATAACCGGAGGTCATTTTGGCACTAAGAAATTTTTCGATGTGGTGAGGTGCAACGGAAGTGGATTTTTCCTTCCAATGAGTTAGTTTTTGTTTAAGATTGAGGCGGTTTGCTTGAGAGGTTTTTCTGAGTTTGGATGCGTGTGAGATTGCGATTTGTTTAAAATGGAATTTTGCCTTATCCCACCAAGTGAGCAAGTTAGCAAAGTCAGATTTTTTTGTAAGTCAGTTTTGCCAAAAGGCGATGAGGTCAGCGTTAAAGGCAGCGTTGTCTAAAAGGGTATTGTTGAAGTGCGAAAAGCCTTTTCCCCGGGGTGGGTTTGACAGGTCCCCGCATGATTGGATACATTTACCGCTCCATTCATGTTCTATAGTGGTTGTCACGTCTCCGTCCAATGCGTTTCTTGAAAAAAAATTATATCCAAATGTTTGCGCTGGAAAAAAATAAAAGCGGTATTTCGTCGGTCGGCCGAACGAAGACCTTGAGCTTATATACTAGCTAAAATGAATGTGTAAAGTGAAAGAGGGGAAAGCAAACCTGATGTAGAGCGTCCCATAATTAATACTGTTCTTGTTGAGGGTGTTGACAATTATCTTCGCGGGTTGCAGGCTCCGGTTGTTTCTCATTCGTGTTAGGTCTTTTGGCTTCGAGATTAAGGGTTGGTTTGAGGCGCTGGCGTCGGGATTTAACGTGGTCTTCAACTGAAGAGATATTTAGCCCTCGTTTGGTGCCTGGTTTGTAGAGATTTATTTTCTTCTGGTTGTTGTGGTGTGAGGTAGCTTGGTCTTGTTCCATGTCGGGGTCATCTGTGGGGTCGTCTGGGTCATTTTTAGCGTCGAGAAATTCCTCGTCGAGTTCTTCGGCGTATACAAGGTCTGCCTGGTTGTGGCGGTCGCGCAGATCACGGTCGGTCTCAGCCGCTTGGCGCAGGATTTTTTCGGGGTGCATTCGGCGTTCGTCCTGAGCGATTTCGGTCTCGGTTGGTGTAGTGTTATCTGTAGGGCGATTAGGGCAGTTCGCTCTAACGTGGCCCGTCTCGTTGCACGTAAAACAATCGACGGTGGGACCAGTTCATTGCGTCGGTGTCCATCATCATGACATAAGCTGCATATGGGCTTCTGGTTATTGTGTATCACACGACACCATTTGCTTTCTATTTTGAGCGACTATGGCACGCTTGGCTTTGTAAGAACCA